ACTGAAAGGATTAATAAATTTTTCACTTTCGATGAATATTATTTTAACTCTGACCAACTTCTAACATTGAGAACAGAAATCCTATGGGTTTCAAACCTGGCCATGTATTATGGGAAACTTCTCGGAATGGATTCCGATCGAAATTATTTTCTCTAGAAAACACAAAGGGAAAAACTATTAGCAATTTCGATAAAAATCCATTCTGAAAAGTTCCATAATAAGTATCCCGTTTCCAATAAGTTTTCATCCAGAAATGGTACAGTATATACAGTATATATGGCGGAAAATGTAAAATTTTCTTTTAATCAAGCCAATTTTGGTCTGCGTTATGTTACAGTATTATTAAAATTAAACTATTAAATTGTTATATATATTATTAAATTTAATATACTATTAAAAATGTTACTATACTAAAACACACAACAAAACAAGCGCGCGCTACGTGCGCGCTATTAAGCTAATTATTATTACTTATTCATTTTCATTTTCCTCCTTTCTGTGACAATTACTAACTTTTTGTTAATTTGTGTTTACATATTTATATTTTCACTCATAGCTGAACATTTCCAGCTGTATCATTTCTTTCGAAGTTGTTCCAACCTCTAAACCTCTAAACATGCTTAGATAAAAAAAGTGTTATTTTTTACTACTTTGACTTCACACTACTCTACAACATATCCAAAGCCCATTAAAATAAGTGGGATAATTTCAAACGTTGCCTTGTAAATAAAAAATAAAATCGATATAAACTTAATATGTGATATAAAATTATAGATTTGTTACATGTTACATGTTCATGTTTCATATAACTTGAAAAAATTTTTACACTTAAAACGAGATAAATATATATTCAGGCATTGAATAGAAAGAAAGCAAAAAATCTAAGCGTAAAACATGCAATCAATACAAATAGATCTAAAGATACAATTTTCGAGATTTTTTTGTCTAAAATTTATGTTCGAGTTTTGTCCACGATACGAGTTTTAGTAATTTATTTGAGTATTTAGATCTACCTCTAGCATCGTGGACAATCTTTTTAGACATATCACACATCCAACTTGCATTAATTTTGATCGAGGAAGATGTTAGACAAAAATTACGTTTACCCAAAAATTTCATCTATCTGAAATACTTTTTTATGATAACGTAATAAAGTGTTACTGCATGAGTGATTGTATAAGCATGAATGTTGCGTTGCATACCAAGGTTTGTATAGGCCAGTATTTATAGTCCGATCTTATATTCAAGATCATCTTAAGCACGATCTTAAGTACGATTTCTGTACGGTTATTTTTTTATTTGATTAGAGTCTTATTAGGGCCGGTATTCATAGTCGGATCTTATTTCAAGACCGTCTTAAGTAATGTCTTAAGATGCTAGACGACTCTGTGATTGGTTCATAACATCTTAAGATTGTACCTTAAATATAAGATATGACTATGAATACCGGCCTTAAGGCCGTAACGACTAGATTTAAGATGATCATGAATATAAGATCGATTTATTGTCCCTTCTATCATACGTCCTTTCTAGTTGCAATATAAGATCGGACTACAAGTACTGTCTATACATTAATAATAATATTACCAGGATCTATGTTTGGAGGCAGACAAAATTCTTGAAAAGTTTCCCGTATCTTGCTTCTCAATTCTCGATCTAGCTTCGGGCTATCAAACAACGGATACAGGCTAGGCAAAACGCGTTTTTCCAAAATTTGTCGCAACGATGAAAATATGCCATTTCTCACTTTGTCCGTTAGCGCGGGATAAAAGTTTGGTATTATCTGTGAACAAGGTATAGAAATTTATAGAAATTTGTAGAATCTTTGTAGAAAGAATTTCATAACGAAAAAGTTTATGGTGTGATTAGGATACGAGTGCAACTTACTCTGCATAAAAAGTCTAGAAGTGTGGCAGTGACAGGTGGATGAGACCTCATCGAATTGTGCATAACAAGAATCGCTGGCTCAATGTTCATAATGTTATCTTTGTCAGGTTCGAAGAACAGCCAATCGTAGAACAGAGCCAGCTTTGCGTTGCTGGCAGCCACGGTGGAAGTGCACGTTGTGAATAACCAGCCTATTACTGCCCATCGCGGAATAATGTCGGAGCACAGCAGTTCGTTCGTAGGGTGTATGACTCCAACGATGAAGCGAATAAGATCGCACCTTAACGACTGAGATTCGGGTGTTGCCAAGTATTTACTCTGAAACCATTCCTGATATCGCTTGTGATTGCCGAAACGGACGTTGCTCGTCAGGAACACGAGTTTTCTCTCCATTTCTGGCGTCAAACGCGACTGTAGAAACCTTCTGGAGGTTCTGGTTTGCAACAGCTGAAGGACACCATTAAAATTTGGGCAGAGGTTTTTTGGATTGAGTAGTATATCCTTCCAGAGTGCTTCAAATTCCGATATTCTCGCAACGTTCTGCAGTAAACGAACCAAATCTCTGAAAAATACAATCGATCGCATTAGTTTTTCCGACGTCTAAAGCTTTCTAATCGCGCGAATATGTATACCTTCCAATGGCCAGGCAGTCTGCCATTCGTTCCCTTATCAGAGCTACGGTGAAGGTCACTTCCTTTTGCCGTAAACCAGCCAAATGAGGTGCATTGTGGTCTTCTATTAATCGTAAATACATGTACACAATTGATGCTACTAAAAAAGGAAATTTGTCCAACCACGGTCGATTTTCTTGAAAAATGTCTAAGAGGGCGTCAACTAGGAATAAGTTCCTCGGGGAAATATCCCCGCCCGCCGCATGCCTCAACAAACTCAAACAAAGATTATCCACATTAGTCACACTAGTCCGTATCATTTCCCTTAGCAACCACAGTAACTGGCTCCTGGTGACGTCATTTAATCTCAAATATTTATCTAGTACTAATTGATTGAGATGAAGCAGCACAATGGCTAAGCCATCTCGTGTGATCAGTGTCAAGTCTCTGTAACTTTTTGCGGCATTCTGCGGATCTGTCAAGATCACCACTAGTAAACCTAGGGAGACCTCCTCGTGCGTCTTGTCCTTGCACACAGCATTGTTTAACGTGTCGTGGATCTCCTTCTCCGACAGTCCCGTCGTCAGATTTTGCAACGTCGAGTGGCATCTCTCCAATTTCTGAAAACAAATCACATTGTACGATCCTAAAGAAAAAAATAAAAATACTTCAAGGGAGTCACATAAATTTCTATTTGGCTTTGAGAAACAAGTGTATCTTTGCGAGCACCAAGTGGACATTTCACGCGAAACAATCAAGGAGAAAATATGTATCGCGATCGAGGGAGAAAAAGGGCACGCGAGGGAGCAAAAAGGGCAAGGACGATCCGCGTGAGATCCGGCGAGTCTTCGCGCGGTTCGAATTCCGCGCGGAAACGCGCGTAGACGCATGTGGCGCCGCGCGCTCGCCAACGTGCGCGACTGTCGCAACAATGGCGGAGGGCCTCGCACCTCGATACGTGCCCAGTGACTATTTCAAATATTTATGTTACCTCTTCCAGCTCGTCCTTGTTCTCGATGCAGCTCGTGTTGAATAGCCGGGACGCCGGGGTCTTCGGCTGCTCCATCGCTCGCTGGCTGCGCCGCGGCCGGCCCGTGAACGTAATTCGCGGCCCCGTCGAGCCCTCAGCCCTCAGCCCTGTGCCCCTGGCCGCTTGTGCTCGCCTCCGTGCATCGTGATCGTCTCGCTGGCCTACTCGTTCGTTCTCTATCTCGCACTCCGTGTCTCTTTCTCTCTCTCTACCTATCTCTTTCTCTCTCCCGTCGCGCTCGCTCTCTCGCTCTCCCTCTCTCTCTCTCTCGCTTTCTCCCACTACGTCTCCCTCTCTTTCTCTCTCTCTCTCTCTCTCTTTCTCGCTCGCTCGCTCGCTCCCTCCGCCGCCCACTCCTCGCCGATCGCCTGTGCCGTCGTGCGCGGACCAGCCACCGTGTTTATTCCTCGTCTCGGCAGACCTCCCCGACTCCGTCTACAGCTCCGATGCGATTGCGCATTGATAGATGCGCCCAGTCGCCGAGAGGCTCCCGCTTCGTGTCACGATGCCCCCGTCAGCGCGCCCGGCGATCGTTGTTCACCAATCAGCGACCACCAGCCCGTACACACGGCGCGCTCGGGTGGGGTACGGTGGAAAAGTAGTGCGAACCCGCGGCAGAGACGGCTGCACGTGGGGCAACGTGGGGCGCAATGGGGTGACAAGGATATGCGTGTCCTGCCCGCGCGAAACATTCACGGAGAAGCTCCGAAATTTCAGGTGATCGATTTTTGACGCGCGATTTGACTCAACGAAATTCGATATATAAATGACGAAGAAATCTTGTGAGCCTCTCGTTAACTCGCTTTTCTGGTTTTAAGCCACTTCAATCACGAGCGATTCATCGACACGTGTCGTTTCGCATCGTGGGCTCCTTTGCAATGTAAAATAAGTCGCTTGTGTGGACTCGACGCGAGCCGTTTTGTTTGACAAAACGAGTGAACCGGCGGAAGGAACGTTACGCGGAGACCACGAAGCGAGGGGGTTGATATTTCCTTTATAACGCTCGCACCTGCGAGAGGTCCTCGGGAGAAAAGCCGTTCCGTACCGCGCGACTTTTTCGCCCTAGGAATTTTTTTCAGCGGTTAATCACCCGGCGGACAGCGGAGCGAGTAACGGAAAGCGCGTCTTCATGGTGGATTACGTTTTGCCGCTTTTGCGCACGTTGGCGCGGGGCACGGGGCTTTGTGCAATTACCGCGGGGCGCACGACGGAGTCGTGAACTTCGTCCTCCGTTCGCCACGCGTTATTAATAAGCACGTCGGAAGGTTGTAAATGAGGCGCGCCGGGAAAACTTTCGCGGTCCCGACAATCACGGGCTGTGTGAAGGGACGGGAAAATTGTTGCGACGCAGTTGAAAACTCGTGGATCATCGTCGCGAGAAGTTTGGAAAATCGTGGGTTCGTCGCGCGCGCGCGGAGTTACCTTCTTCGAGGCTTTCTTACTCGGAAAGTTGCGACGAAAAATGTAAGATGCGCGAGATCGATTAATTCATGAAACGTGACCGAGTTAAATTATTCTATTACAGTCGAGAATGACTCTTGGTGTAACGAAAATGATAAAAAAAATCCCAAAATTTGCTCGTCTCGACTT